AGCTCTGGTAATGGGCATTCCCTCACTTCTTTTTTCCCTGACATATTCAAAAACCCTCCGGTCAACCTCAATGAAACGACCACTTTGAGGACCACGGAAGGATTTTCGCTGACTGTTAGCATCTTTTAGACGTTGTTTTTCTGCTCGCCATCTTCTTACATTACACTCAGTGACCCCGAATGTCTTGGCAGCTTGGCAGTTGTTAGATGACTCTGCCTTATTGACAACCATTATTTTGAAATTGGCATCATAGCTCCTCCGCTGTTGTTTATTGACCTGGCCCACTTTTGAGCCACTTGTCTCTAAATGGTCAGCCTGTCTTTCCATCTTTAAACACCGGTAACGGGCTGGTTGTTAAGGACGCCTCTTCCCTCCGTCCGGAACGAATTTTTGGCGCCATCTGTGCCCGCGAATGTGTATTGACATTTAAAGGGAGCGCCGAAGAAGAGAAACTGCGCTCTGAATACTAGACCCCGAATATAAGACGACCCGACTTTTTTGGACCTATTTCGAGGGGAAAAAAGGCCGTCTTATATTCGGACCAATACGGTACTTCTGTGGACAGGTGTCTTTTATACAGGTAACAAGCTGAGATTAGGAGCACTCCCTTTAAGAGTGTGCTCCTAATCTCAGTTTGTTACCTGTATAAAAAGACACCTGGGAGCCAGAAATCTTTCTGATTAAGAGGGGGTCAAATACTTATTTCCCTCATTAAAATGCAAATCAATTTATAACATTTTTGACATGCGTTTTCCTGGATTTTGTTGTTGTTATTCTGTCTCTCACTGTTCAAATAAACCTACCATTAAAATGATAGACTGATCATGTCTTTGTCAGTGGGCAAACGTACAAAATCAGCAGGGGATCAAATACTTTTTTCCCTCACTGTATGTAGTAGTAAATAAGTAGTGAAACGCGTATTAGAACTTGTAAGGTAGTGATGAGTAGTACGTTTTGTTCTTCATGAGGTTGTGGCGATATACTGTTGGCGACTAGATACAATTGCATAATAGGAACTATTACAAATTGATGGTCCTTGAAAAAGTACTTAAGTCCTTGAATTTGACTTGCCACTGTCTGTACGAACCCTGTATATATGATCAAATCAAATTTTATTTGTCACATGCGCCGAATACAACAGGTGCAGCAGACCTTACCGTGAAATGCTTACTTACAAGCCCTTAACCAACAATGCAGTTCAAGAAATAGAGTTAAGAAAATATTTACTAAATCAAGTTTTTTTTAAATCAAATCAAATCAAAAAGTAACACAAGAAAATTACATAACAATAGCGAGGCTATATACAGGGGGTACCGGTACCGAGTCAATGTGTGGGGGTACATGTTAGTCGAGGTAATTTGTAAAGTGTCTATGCATAGATAATAAACACACCAAGACTGGGTGCACTCTATTCCTGGCAGGCTGATCAGATTCAATAGCAGCCTCAGAGGCTGATAAGTCAGGATGCTGCCTTGAAGGCTGTCTGCAAGGAGCCTTACATATGAAACAGCCTACAAGACAGCATCCTGATTTAAGAGGCTCTGAGGCTGCTATTGAATCTGATCAGCCTGACAGGAATAGAACTCACTCCCTCGATCAGATATGCATATGCCTATAAAGCACTTTGACAGCTAATCTGCCTGCAAAGGAGCCTTACCCATGAAACGGTCTACAAGGCAGCATCCCGACTTATCAGCCTCTGAGGCTGAAATTGAATCTGATCAGCCTTTCAGGAATGGAGCTCACCCACTGTAAAGGTAAATATTATCCACAAAACATGACGTGTCCCTTATAATTATACACATAGCAGTTATGCAAGCTAACAACCAGCATAGATAACAAACTAGCTTGCTAACTAGCTAGCTCACAAGACTTGCCAATTTATCTGCATTGTCCTTGCATGTGATTGGCTGTGGTCTTGGGGACGGCACGCAGCCCGGGAGACAGTGTTACCTGTCAGGCATCGTTCAGGTCTTAAATGCCCAGCATTGCAATCAATGCAGCCACAGGGGTCCTTGATGAAGTGGTTATCGTGCATCTGAACAAATGAATGAATGGATTGTGCATGGTACTTTTGATTATCTCGTGATCTCGACAAAACAACTTTTGTTATGTAGTGATCATGAGATAAAAAAAAATTGTGATCTCGACATAACAAGGGAACTATTTTTTTTTAGTTCATATGTCCACAACAGGGCCGCCGGCAAACGTGGGGCGAGCTGCCATTAGCCTACTGGATCAGGAAAAACTCTGGGCCCCAGGAAAACACTCCTGTGATGCCACCTCAAATCCCCACACAATGTTACAAATGAAGAAACATATCCTATGAGTATGGTCTACTATCTAAAAATGTTGAGTTAGTATTAAAAAAATGGTGACTCAAGTATCTCAAGATTTTGACTTAGTATTTAGGCATTTCGAGATAATATCGACATAATAACAAAATTGGTGGTAGGAATGGGCTGAAAAAATTAACAAAGCGCTCGACTCCACCTTTATATAAACTTAAATCGGGTGCTGGATCCTCATGTATATAATCCAAAGAACAGAAAAAAAGACACCACTCCGGTAAATAAACGTAAATTGACATTTTTATTGCCGCACAAACATTTCAGGTATGAACCCTTCTTCAGCGTGCAAGGCAATGGCAAGCAATGTCACAGGAATGAACTTCCATAAGACTATTGACAGAAACACTATTGTGGAAAATATTGATAGTAGGCTACTATGTGTTGCGCCGACTAAACTCAACTCCACGATTTACGATGGAGTTGAGCGGCGACTAGTGTGGGCGGACTGGAGCTCCGACCTCACATAAAATGACGTTTTTATAAAGACCTACGGATTTCCGCATTGTCCTGTAATTGCGTGCTATACTTTGGGTGCTGAAATACGTAGTTGTTGATAAAAACATCATTTTATGTGATGTCGGAGCTCCAGTCCGCCCACACCAGTCGCCGCTCAACTCCATCGTAAATTGTTGAGTTTAGTCAGCTACTACCGTATGTGTATAGGCCAACGAATAGTCTATTATACAAATAGTATACAAAGGATATGCATCATAGGTGTCTTGTATGACCTGAAGGGAAACTGAGTCTGTTGTGCCACTGGCGTGAGAGAAGCCCTAACCCTTCTGGCTTCATTGACCTGTGTTCTATTAAATGCCACACAGTCACTTAGTAACCAGGTCTTGAGGCATATTTGTTCAGCGTTCATCTGTCACACATTTATGCACCACTAACACAAGTGCCACTAAATCACTGCTGCTTATCTTTGCAGAGGGACAAAGATCACCGCAGAGTGACTGCTGCAGGTGACATGGCTATTGTATTATGTGCATTGCTATAGTCTAAAATGTATCTTCCTCTCTATGTGTCCTTGTCCTCACCTTTGACTGTTTTGATGTGAAAGAACAGAACTGGTGAAAATGAATAGGCTAGTCAATAATCTTCTGCTTTCTACTGACTTTCCATATGTTTCCAGATCAGTGCAGATGAGGCTGAAAAGGAAAGAAAAAAAGATTGATGATATACTTTAGTATATCTTGAAGGAGTTCCCACATATGCTGAGTACTTGTTGGCTGCTTTTCCTTCACTCTGCAGTCCAACTCATCCCAAACCATCTCAATTGGGTTGAGGTCGGGTGATTGTGGAGGCCAGGTCATCTGATGCAGCCCTCCATCATTCTCCTTCTTGGTCAAATAGCCCTTACACAGCCTGGAGGTGTTTTGGGTCATTGTCCTGTTGAAAAACAAATGATAGTCCCACTAAGCGAAAACCAGATGGGATGGCGTATCACTGCAGAATTCTGTGGTAGACATGCTGGTTAAGTGTGCCTTGAATTCTAAATAAATCACGGACAGTGTCACCAGCAAAGCACCCCCTCACCATCACACCTCTTCCTCCATGCTTCATGGTGGGAACCACACATGCGGAGATCATCCGTTCACCTACTCTGCGTCTCACAAAGACACGGCGGTTGGAACCAGAAATCTCAAATTTGGACTCATCAGACCAAAAGGACAGATTTCCACCGGTCTAATGTCCATTGCTCGTGTTTCTTGGCCCAAGCAAGAAGTCTCTTATTCTTATTGGTGTCCTTTAGTAGTGGTTTCTTTGCAGCAATTCGACCATGAAGGCCTGATTCACACAGTCTCCTCTGAACAGTTGATGTTGAGATGTGTCTGTTACTTGAACTCTGTGAAACATTAATTTGCGCTGCAATCTCAGGTGCCGTTAACTCTAATGAACTTGTCCTCTGCAGCAGAGGTAACTCTGGGTCTTCCTTTCCTGTGGCGGTCCTCATGAGAGCCAGTTTCATCATAGCGCTTGATGGTTTTTGTGACTGCACTTGAAGAAACTTTCAAAGTTCTTGAAATTTTCCGGATTGACTTACCTTCATGTCTTAAAGTAATGATGGACTGTTGTTTCTCTGCTTATTTGAGCTGTTCTTGTCATAATATGGACTTCATTCTATTTCTGTGGTCTGCTAATCCAAATAGGCCATTTTGAATTATCTGCATAGGAAGGTAGTGAATGTTGCTTGATTGGGTCATAGAGCCGGGACACTAAGGACAGGAAGGTCATGTGATAGACGTTAGTGTCGGTCTCACTCTCAGCAAGGAGCTTTCTCCTCCCAACCCGCCACACTTTCACATGACAGATCATCGGCCTCCTCTGTTTAGAGTTAGTGCTACATTCCTCACCATTTTCTCTCTTTGACTGGCTGTTTCCCTCCTTTCTCACTCTATGTTTATCTCTCTGTCACTCACACACACTGCACACACAGTAAAGCTGTGGGCAAACTGTGAAAGCTCTGTCTGTTTGTGGAATAGGCCCCTTGTGAAACCCATGGTCTGCTGATATTTCTGCTTAGAAGTACTGTAGGTATTGTAGAGCCAGCCCTGTGTCCACTAACTACAGATCCATTTGTAATATCTCTCACCTCTCTCTCTCTCTCTCTCTCTTCCCTCTCTCTCTGTCACTGTGTGTGTGTTTAGGTTAGTAGCCAAACCCTGTGCCCACATACTTCAGATTCAGGCTGGAGTGAGCCGGCGAGCCCAGGCCAACGCTGTCCTGGAGAGGGTGTTTACATCCACAACGGTACATAAAGCATGGTTCTGATGTGCTACTGCTGGGTGGACAAATGCAGCATTGTGACTTGAAATGTTTCTTATGTAATCACCCATGATGTAAAAGCAAATCACCCCACATGTAAATGCACTGGAAATTCTGTAAATGAATTAGTGGAAGTTACAAATATCAAATATACTGTAGGCCTATTCCACGCTAGCGAACCAGATTTTTACTCGCTAGTCAGGGGAAAGTGCGATCAGATGTTGATTACTGTCCAAAGCCAGTTAGCCATGGTGAGTCCGTTTCTGCTGTAGCCAATTTTTCTGTTAACTTGTTTAGCAGGGCAACAGTGTAGCGTTGTTGATTGTAGAAACAGTCCTGTAGGCTACTCCAGCTAAAACAGTGACTCTGTCTCTCCTGTGCCATCCTCTTCTTCAGAGTCCTGACTCGTGGCAGATTGAGGGGCTGTCTAAGCAGATGGATTGGGATGTTAGGAAAGTCCAGAGATGGTTCCGACTCCGGAGGAGCCAGGACAAGCCCAGTACACTCACAAAGTTCTGCGAGAGCATGTAGGTTCTGAAGTCTTGATCCATCTAGATGCACTAGAGCCTTTCTGTTCTGTTGCGGTTTTTCATGTTTACTCTTTCCTTTTCATCATAGGTGGAGGTTGACGTTTTATACCGGTATATTTATCTATGCGATTCGCTATCTGTGGGTGGTGAGTTAAATGGACTTATACTACACTGAATAACTTTTCTGTATATACACTGAACAAAAATATAAACGCAACATGTAAGGTGTTGGTCCCATGTTTCATGAGCTGAAAAAAAAATTCTGTCAATTCTGTCTAATAAAGCCTTTTTGTGGGGAAAAGCATCAATCTGATTGGCTGGGCCTGGCTCCCCAGTGGGTGGGCCTATGCCCACCCATGGCTGCACCCCTGCCCAGTCATGTGAAATCCATAGATTAGGGCCTAATGAATTTCTTTCAAATGACTGATATCCTTATATGAACTGTAACTCAGTAAAATCTAAATGAAAGGAGCCCTTCTAAAATGGAGGTTTTTGCAGGAAATAAAATATAGATCAGATAATGCAGATTGTTTTCATTTCAGAGGAAGTCCAATTTAATAAAGTTGACAAGCATTGTGTTATCATCTTTGATAATCTTTGACCTGTGCATGTCTTCCTCTAGTCTCCTTGGACTTGGGACACACGGCAATGCTGGTACAACTACCCATTTCAGGTAAAGGATCTACCTACAAAGTACCTAAATACCAGGATCAATTCCTGTAATTTGTCAACAGATGAAGATTACATTCCTAACCATAGGGGTTATTGTCAATATCTTCTGCTTTTTCTAAGGATACCATGTTATGATTCTTCCTTTCCTCCCACAGACGCTGAGTCCTGGCCAGTACAACTACTATGTAGCTGAGCTGGCCTTCTACTGGTCCCTCATGTTATCCCAGTTCACAGACATCAAAAGGAAGGTGAGTCAGGTGACTGGGTTGGAGGGAGGGGGGGGTGGGGTACTGGGTGGACTGGGGTAGATGGACTCTGAGTGGAGGGCACACGTAGAATCTTCAGCTATTGTGCTCCCCTCTCACAAAAAACACTAAATGTTACTACAAGTTCACTCCGTTGATCTATGTGCGTGTGTAAACATGGTTGAAGTGGGATTTTTGGAATAGCGGAGCACCTTTTGGTAACATATCCTCGCCGGTCCCACTCCCATTCACAAGTGGGCGATAGCAAAGTTTTCTATTTTTGTCTCTTCATTTTGTGAAAGCAAGAAAGAGTCACCTTCCGTTGCTAGTAGTAGCTAGCTGGCAGCCTGGCTAAAAACATAGCAAGCTAGCCTTTCTAGCTTCACACATCTCCATGTGAAATGATCAGATTTATCATTAAAAAAATATGCCCTTGCAAATATTCTTATGCTTGCCGGTGTAATCTAAAACATTATTCCAGTTTGATATGCTGCTTGTGTATTCATTCCCATATCAGCTAAAAATAGAACGTCATGTCCTCCCGAGTGGCGCAGTGGTCTAAGGCACTGCATCGCAGCGCTAGCTGTGCCACTAGAGATCCTGGTTCGAATCCAGGCTCTGTCATAGCCGGCCGCGACCGGGAGACACATGGGGCGGCGCACAATTGGCCCAGCGTCGTCCAGGGTAGGGGAGGGAATGGCCGGCAGGGATGTAGCTCAGTTGGTAGAGCATGGCGTTTGCAACGCCAGGGTTGTGGGTTCGATTCCCACAGGGGTATAAAAAATAATGTATGCACTCACTTAACTGTAAGTCGCTCTGGATAAGAGCGTCTGCTAAATGACAAAAAAAATAAATGTAAATGTAAGTCGCTCTGGATAAGAGCGTCTGCTAAATGACGTAAATGTAAAAATGTTTTGGTCACAGAGAAAAAAAGTACCTGGCTAGCTAGTTGGCTACAGCAGGTTCTACAATTTCACAATAGCCTGGAATCACCAAATATTACTTCTAAACACAATACCTTTTTGAGTGGATTCTTGTTGTTTGGTTTAGTGTTTCAACAGTCACTGAGATTATATTTGGTTATCAATGCAAAATAGGCTACTTGAATGAATAGCCTATAGATCAGATCAAGGAACCAAGCCCCCACGGCTGCGGAAGGAATGATACGGCGTGTCTACATATTCGGGTAATAAAAAAAATATGTTGAATGCCCTTTTGTGACGAAAAACAACATTGCAACACTTTGAATCTTGTGTCTGCGTAGAGTTTGTAGTAAGCTTAATCCTACCACCACTCCAGTCTTGTGCGCATAGCAGTGGCTTTGCTCCATCCTAATTGATCTCTATTGTAGCTGGTATGCAAGCCATTTAAATCCACTTGATTTTCCGGAAAGTCTGGCCAGAATTGGCACCAGTTTGTCCTGTTCGAAGACTGTTGCTACTTCATTTTAAGACACACTTCAGTTTCACGCTAGGTTAGCAAGATAATGATTGTTTTGTTATAGAAGGCCTGTGAGACTGTAAACTTTGAACAGGTTAGACACAGTGAGTTTCTATGTAGGGAATAGTTTAGGACAATAGTTTATGTATAAAGCACTAGGCCAGAGTATGCAATCCTACTGAGAGTAGACATAATATAATGTATTTTCACACAGTGGGGAACCGTGAGGGCCTTCTAGGGTTTTAATTTCTATTTCATATTTTCAATGATATTCTCATTATATTATTCATTTTGTTGTGTTACAGCCTGAATTTTAAATGGATTAAATTGCAGGTTTTTGTCACTGGCCTACACACAATACCCCATAATGTCAAAGTGGAATTATGTTTTTTGAAATGTTTACAAATTAATTAATAATGAAAAGCTGAAATGTCTTGGGTCAATAAATATTCAACCCCTTTGTTATGGCAAGCCTAAATAAGTTCAGGAGTAAACATTTGCTTAACAAGTTACATAATAAGTTTCATGGACTCACTCTGTGTGCAATAATAGTGTTTAACATATAATTTCTGAAGGACTACCTCATCTCTGTACCCCACACCACAGGAGGTTGGTGGTAATTGCTGGAGCGGAATTGGTGGAATGGTATCAAATACATGGTTTCCATGTGTTTGATGCCATTCCATTTACTCCGTTCCAGACATTATAATGAGCCGTCCTCCCCTCAGCAGCCTCCACTGCCCCACTCTGTAAGGTCCCTCAGTCGAGCAGTGAATTTCAAACACAGATTCAACCACAAAGACCAGGAAGGTTTTCCAATGCCTCGCAAAGATGGGTATTTATAGATTATAAAAGTTTTAAACAGACATTGAATATCTCTTTGAGCATGGTGAAGTTATTAATTACACTTTGGATGGTGTATCAATACACCCAGTCACTAAAAAGATACAGGCGTCCTTCCTAACTCAGTTGCCGGAGAGGGAGGAAATCGCTTAGGGGTTTCACCATGAGGCCAATGGTAACTTTAAAACGGTTACAGAGTTTAATGGCTGTGATCTGAAAAATTGAGGATGGATCAACAACATTGTAGTTACTCCACAATACTAACCTAATTGACAGAGTAAAAAGAAGGAAGCCTGTACAGAATATAAATATTCCAAAACATGCATCCTGTTTGCAACAAGGCACTTAAGTAATACTGCAACAAATGTGGCAAAGTAAACTTTTTGTCCTGAATACAAAGTGTTATGTTTGGGGCAAATCCAATACAACACATTACCGAGTACCACTCTCCATATTTTCAAGCATAATGGTGGCTGCATCATGTTATAGGTATGCTTGTAATCATTAAGGACTGGGGAGTTTTTCAGTATAAAAAAGAAACGGAATGGAGCTAAGCACAGGCCAAATCCTAGAAGAAAACCTGGTTCAGTCTGCTTTCCACCAGTCACATGGAGATGAATTCCCCTTTCAGAAGGACAATAACCTAAAACACAAGGCCAAATGTACACTGCAGTTGCTTACAAAGAAGACTGTGAATGTTCCCGAATGGCCGAGTTAAAATTTAGCTTGAAAATCTATGGCAAGACCTGAAAATGGTTATTTAGCAATGATCAACAACCAATTTGATGGAGGTTGAAGAATTTTGAAAATAATCATGGGCAAATGTTGCACAATCCAGGTGTGTGGAAAGCTCTTAGAGACTTACCCAGGAAAGACACACAGCTGTAATCGCTGCTAAAGGTGATTCTAGCATGTATTGACTCAGGGGGTTGAATACTTATCTAATCAAGATATATTAGTGTTTTATTTTTCTTCCACTTTTGTGTAGATTGTTGTAACACAACAAAATGTGGAAAAAGTCAAGGGGTGTGAATACTTTCTGAAGGCACTGTAGCTTTTGTTGTAGGATAGTGTGCAGCGGCTGCAGGTGAAGCAGGTGATACCGAAGAGGATGTTGTTTCTAATTTGTTCGCTTTGCCCTATTCAAGATTATAACTTTCAACAAGTTACGTTTCAAATTATCATCATCTGAGTCCTCATTTATAAACATTGTGTATAAACGTTGCCCATCATTCACCTTTTATGGTGACAATAACAGCCTTATATGCTGTATTTGGAAGTATTGGAATTAGGCGAAGGCCATTTCTAAAGAAAATAGCAATGGCGAAATTGATCAAATGTCTCTGGAGGTGTTGTCAGAATGTTGAAACTTTTACAGTGACATTATCTGACAGTTTCTGTAAGAAAAAAGAATAGCAAATTGTTGTGGACCTGGAAACAGATTGTTTGAATTCAATAATGAAATATGCTGCACTGCCTGCGAATTCAGAAACATTGTTTAGTATGTCTAAAAACATTTTGGGGACTACAGTAGACCTACTTAAAGTAGCCTACACACTTCAATGCAAAAGAGCAACTGTCTGTTCATCTGTTAAATTCTACTGTAGGCTATATTATAAACCGCGCTCCCTTTCGGATGTATAGAGATAAATACTTTAAATAATAGCCTATCTATAGGCCAAATAAAATTAGAGATGTGCATGGTAATTTGTTGTAGGCTAAAGCTTCTTCGGGAATAAGGACCTATCATGGCCAAAAAAGGTGGTGAGGAATTTATTCTGCAATGGTTATGAAAATGGCTTATGTTTATGAAATATTGTTTACTTGAGACATTTTAAATTACAGTAGGCTATTTAGATGTACAGTAGACAAAAAAATAACAAATGGAAAAGGTGAACAGTCTGTTCTACCGTTAAACTGCACTCTGAATCGGATGGCATAGGTGACCCATTTCAAGAAGCTAGGCGTATGACGCACATCCCTACTTCACAGGAGAGGCATTTTATTTTTTACTTTTTTTTAAATCAAAATGTGTTTTTTTGGCAGAAATGCCTTCTGGAACATGGACTTTCATGTGCCTTAATAACTAACTTGTATGCCATTTGTAAAAATGTTAAATTATAAGTCTAGTTGGTTTATCCACGGAAAAAGACCAGAACCTTCCCGTTAGCCATGATTGGCTGAGATAATAGATGGGCTGGACATGCCGAGAGATGAGTTCAAATTCGTCTGCCATGTAGCACGCTTCTGTCTATAACATGAGCTGCTCAGTATGTGTAGATAATCTTTGCTACCGCAGCTTTTTTGAAAGACATAATGTTAGCCATGAACAACTGCAAAAGTGTTGCTACTGCTCTTGACAACATTGCTGCCCAGAATTTAGCAGGCACTATCGATAAAGATCAGTGGGAAAAAGTTGTGATGGATTACTTTCTGCACACGGTCAGTGTGAACCGGAGTGACTTGACACAACAACGGGCCAAACAAGCTGTAGCTAGCTACAAACCAAACGGAAAAGACACGCTGCCGTGAAGCGTTCATCCATGTACAGTGGGGGAAAAAAGTATTTAGTCAGCCACCAATTGTGCAAGTTCTCCCACTTAAAAAGATGAGAGAGGCCTGTAATTTTCATCATAGGTACACGTCAACTATGAAAGACAAATTGAGAGAAAAAAATCCAGAAAATCACATTGTAGGATTTTTTATGAATTTATTTGCAAATTATGGTGGAAAATAAGTATTTGGTCACCTACAAACAAGCAAGATTTCTGGCTCTCACAGACCTGTAACTTCTTCTTTAAGAGGCTCCTCTGTCCTCCACTCGTTACCTGTATTAATGGCACCTGTTTGAACTTGTTATCAGTATAAAAGACACCTGTCCACAACCTCAAACAGTCACACTCCAAACTCCACTATGGCCAAGACCAAAGAGCTGTCAAAGGACACCAGAAACAAAATTGTAGACCTGCACCAGGCTGGGAAGAATGAATCTGCAATAGGTAAGCAGCTTGGTTTGAAGAAATCAACTGTGGGAGCAATTATTAGGAAATGGAAGACATACAAGACCACTGATAATCTCCCTCGATCTGGGGCTCCACGCAAGATCTCACCCCGTGGGGTCAAAATGATCACAAGAACGGTGAGCAAAAATCCCAGAACCACACGGGGGGACCTAGTGAATGACCTGCAGAGAGCTGGGACCAAAGTAACAAAGCCTACCATCAGTAACACACTACGCCGCCAGGGACTCAAATCCTGCAGTGCAAGACGTGTCCCCCTGCTTAAGCCAGTACATGTCCAGGCCCGTCTGATGTTTGCTAGAGTGCATTTGGATGATCCAGAAGAGGATTGGGAGAATGTCATATGGTCAGATGAAACCAAAATAGAACTTTTTGGTAAAAACTCAACTCGTCGTGTTTGGAGGACAAAGAATGCTGAGTTGCATCCAAAGAACACCATACCTACTGTGAAGCATGGGGGTGGAAACATCATGCTTTGGGGCTGTTTTTCTGCAAAGGGACCAGGACGACTGATCCGTGTAAAGGAAAGAATGAATGGGGCCATGTATCGTGAGATTTTGAGTGAAAACCTCCTTCCATCAGCAAGGGCATTGAAGATGAAACGTGGCTGGGTCTTTCAGCATGACAATGATCCCAAACACACCGCCCGGGCAACGAAGGAGTGGCTTCGTAAGAAGCATTTCTAGGTCCTGGAGTGGCCTAGCCAGTCTCCAGATCTCAACCCCATAGAAAATCTTTGGAGGGAGTTGAAAGTCCGTATTGCCCAGCGACAGCCCCAAAACATCACTGCTCTAGAGGAGATCTGCATGGAGGAATGGGCCAAAATACCAGCAACAGTGTGTGAAAACCTTGTGAAGACTTACAGAAAACGTTTGACCTGTGTCATTGCCAACAAAGGGTATATAACAAAGTATTGAGAATTTTGTTATTGACCAAATACTTATTTTCCACCATAATTTGCAAATAAATTCATTAAAAATCCTACAATGTGATTTTCTGGATTTTTTTTTCTCATTTTGTCTGTCATAGTTGACGTGTACCTATGATGGAAATTACAGGCCTCTCTCATCTTTTTAAGTGGGAGAACTTGCACAATTGGTGGCTGACTAAATACTTTTTTCCCCCACTGTATACGGGTAAGAGCCTAGCTACATATTTAGATATTATATGTTTCTAATTTTGTAAGTAATTTCAAATTGAAGTGTACTGTTAGCTAGGTAGCGAATGTTAGTTTGCTGGCTGGCTCGCCAGCTATCGTTACGTGTATAATCTGTGTAGTAATATTATTCATATCTCAGAAATCCATTTTGCATTGCTAGTTATTGCCTAACGTTAGCTAGCTAGCAAACATTGAACCTAGTTGGTTAGCTTTAGCTACCTGCAGATTCATACTGGTTCATCATGCATTGTGGCTAGCTATGACAATCCGTTTGTACTGTAGCTATGGGTTGGGATTATGGTTAATTGTTTAGCTAGCTAGCTACAGGTCTAAACAAAAGACTCCACTTCGCAAGAGAATGATTGCATGATCCATCAAGTTAGCCAGGTTTGTCTGGGGGTGATTACAAGCCATCTATTGTATTTCATGAACATTTGTACATGTCTAGACAATAGTGACTCATCCACTAAACTAGATGTGGCTGAGGGGTGGTTATAGTATTTATTTCACATAACCCATCAATTTAGACAAGTGTCTGGGTAAGCATAATCTAATAATTATAAAATATTTTTATCTGGACACTTTCAAAGTCAGATTGGGACATAGGCCAAGGACTAGATAGTGTATTTTTTCCTGGAGTTTTTTCTTATTGTAGGCTACTACTAAAACCACTGTCTTTGTTTGTTTACTACACTACCTTACTCACTCTGTTTAGCACAAGCCTCACAAAGGGCTGTGGCGGTCATAAAATTTGGTCAGCAGGTGATTTTCAAGCAAATAACTGACGGTCTCACAGTAATTGACGTTAATGAACATAAACACATTTTGCATCTCCTGGCTTCCACACATAGCCTACAAGCCACTGATGCAGACCTTAGGAACATCTACATTTTAAAAAGTCTAATAAATCCATGTAATATAGCCTACACCATCACAATAAATCCATTATTTATTTTAGACAGGTTTAAAGAAACATGATATGAAGAAAATGTAGTCTATTTCAGAAGAACAGAATAGCATACTCTGAGTTGGCCTTATGTTTGGCCCTGATCTGGCTATGCCATATGGCTGTGGCTAGTTCATTTAGCAGACAAGATTTGCTTAGAATTCCGTGGCATTATTTTATATAATTTTATAGCATGGAGAATACAATTGAACGTAGCTGAATAAAATAGAAAGGATATTTTCTCCAAATGATTTCAGGGAGTGCTCACATGCGGCTGTTCTGTGTTGAGTGGTTAACAAAGAAACAGGTACTCATATGCTTAATTTTGAGTTATTTATGTAACTTTAGTTGTGATACAAATGTTGGGCTATATGTTTAGATTTTTTATACATTCTAAGGCTGCATGATGCGACTAATGATGCATTAAAGGCATGAGCTCTGCTTTGTTTTTTGCACAGGCTGTACACACCATCAGTCTCCCATTCACAGTTTGACAAGCACTTGATAATGCCTTGAATTTCCCGGCGACATCCCCTTTGTGTGGCCGTAATTCCCCTAAAAAAATCCATGCCTTTTGCAGCCAGTGTCCCTTGTGCCCTTGGGCTGAATATAATAATTATAATTCCCTTCTCCCGGCTGCGTGCTCCGAAGCACATCTCACTCACATGACTCTCTGTCACATGATCAGGTCTTTCTCACAGGCTACAAGTGAAGAAAGACACATCGGGGACGCAACTGCACGCATCCTTATCCAATTCCGAGGCGCATATTGAAGATATTGGAAGAACTGTCCTCATTTACTTTTCGTCAGCCAACAAGATGAGTAGGCCAAACGAACAGCAAAAACACTAGCCTATGTCAACCTACTATCCCCCATAGTACAGAAGTTGACCTATTCTGTGCGAGAAATAAATATTCCAAACAGTCTGGGACAGTTGTGGGATGCGATAGATCCCAAACTAATACAACCACCAGCATAGAAAAAATTAAGTAATGAGGCTGACGTAACAGATAAGAATGTTTCGCTTAGAATTTTGATAAACTATTAGGCTATTTCTTCACATTATCAGCACAGCAATGTGCACACAACAGTAGGCTATAAGTGCGAATGTTCCATTAGCAGGAAAACACCGTTCTCAAAAGTGACCGCATATGCGATAATTTATGTAACGCTTTTATTATAAAGGTGCATTTATACGGTGAAAATGATCTTCCCCAAACTTGAAACTTACTCGCTGACGTATGTATACCAGTTAGGCTCTACACCCGTTGTAAAGCGGATTCATGTGCTTAATTTTAAGTTATTTGGCAACTTTAGTAGTGATACAAACCTTATAAAAACATATAGGCCTATGGGCTAGGCTGTGGCGTGCGACAATGATTTGAAAAGGTCACACAAAAAAGGCATGCGCTGTTTCTTGCCTTACTGCACACAAGCTGGGCATCATTCACAAGTGATAATGTCATTCAAGCTGTGCATCATTCACAAGTGATAATGTCATTCAAGCTGTGCATCATTCACAAGTGATAATGTCATTCAAGCTGCGCATCATTCACAAGTGATAATGTCATTCACAAGTGATAGGCAAATATTGTCACCCATGCTCTCCATTTGTAAATGATTTGCCCCACAGTGGACTGATGGAGATTTTATAGCCTTCCCCAGACTGATGTGCTCTCACAACCCTCGTCCTGATGTCCTCTGAGATCTCCTTTCCTCTCGGCATGGTGTGCTTTGCATTCACCTGGATGGGTAACACCAAACTGACCAGGTTTCTTATCTGTATTTATCAGAGTCCCGCCCAAACTCTTTCCTAACGATCTCTCCTTTGATTGGTTCATTTGGTAGCTGATTCTACTTACCTACTTGATTTAACCAATGCAACTTAGGGTTCACTTATTTTCGCACCTGCACTAATTCCTTTTTAATTTTGTTTTTCTACTACAGACATGATTTCCTCTACACCACCATAAGGTATTGGTAAATATAAACCTGTTATGTCAGATCAAAAAGACTGGTTCTGATTAAATGAAAATGTCATGGGAAAAACTGAAAAACTCTGTAATTGCACAAGGGGTTCACATACTTTCAAGCAGCACTGTATAATAAATAATATATGTGTGAAATTTGTTTTGATTTATCATGCACCTGTCTCAAAACGGGCAGGGGAATAAATACATGTCAACTATGCACTTTCCCGTAGTTCATTTTCATGCCAGCCAGGTAGGCTATACAGCTGTGGTAAAGAGAAGCAATGTGCTTAATATTAGGAAAATTGAGAAATAAATATAGAGGCCTAGCCTATAGAATGCTGATGGGATCCTCTTCTTTTTTAAACGCAATCACATAGCCTATAGAAATGTTCCGCAAAATGAGCTCATGGGCTCTCATGAAGTGTTTGATTAGATTTTTCAATTACATTTGCATTGATGTCAGTGATTTAGCGGGACAATAGAGTGCTGAGTACCAGGCAGTTAACAAGTTTGGTAGGCTACTAATGACCATCAGCAGCATCAGAGCTTGGAGAAGCCTAATTACCGTGACTAAACGCTCACGTGGAACTTGACTGCCGTCATGACTCGTGACCACCGGTGTAGCGGTAATACGGTCACTGTAACAGCACTAGCCTCACATGTGAATCCTTAAAGAGATGGGTGGGGCTAAGGCTTAAGAGGGTGTGAACAATGCTAAATAGGTGTAGACAAAGAAGAGCTCTCCAATAGGTTTACCAAAACTTTTATCCAATGTAAAAAAAAAACGTTTGCTACATAAGATCAAGGCGGTCGATCACATTAGAGCAAAATACTTGAAATAGTTTATTTACTACTTTCAAGTGGGTCTAATTAAATGAGTAATGGGATATTGTAGGCCTATAGGCTTCGCGAGTATGACACCACCACGGTCAAAAAAGGTGAGGAATTTATTCTGCAATGATCATGGAAATGAAATGGGAAATAGATGCCTATTTCGAACTATTTTAGAATGCAAAGAAAAAAGAAAGAAAAAAAGGATCTTCGCTCCTCTCACTAACGGAAAATGAATGCATGTTATTATATTTACCTTTATTTTTTATTTTTTTGGGGGGGTGGGTAGGTATATCTTGTACTTACATCATGTTTATCAATGAGGCCCCTGGTGAGTGGAACTGTGTTTTTTTTTTATTGCACCCCGCTTGCTGTTAGCTATCTCTTTTGAAAATAATTAGTTATGCATGTGAAACATTGTTGCATTTAAACTTTAGAACACCGGTTACTTTGTGTGCTGAACATGATCAAGATGTTTGCAATGCGAAGTCATAGTAATAGTTTGTACATTTCGATTGGAAAAATGATTAGCTTAATGGTTGTGTTTATGTATTCTTATGATTGGGACCTTGACTTATTATCAATTATGTCAGAGTGAATGGGCTGCTTATTCTTTAACATGCTAGGTGTGACTGCTTGCCGTCTTTCTTTCTTTTTGAGTTTGGTACGTGTTAGAAGATTTGTTTCCCCACTGAAGACCTAGGTCCAATATCCACAGTTCGCCACTGTTGTCACATGGGTGCTAGAAGAGGTAGAATTACATTAACACTGTGCTGTTCTCTGGCAATGGATCAAGAGCAAAGGAAGGTTATATTTGTATCACTTAGCAAGTTTTGCAAGTTTTAGAAGGTTGTAAAAGGGTTTCCAATACACCTGAGTTTGAACCTAGCGTCTTTGCACGTCATTACAAATCCCAAAGTCCTTAGGCAAGTTGTTTCAAGTTAAGAAAATGAACTCAGTAAATTGAATGTAGTTAAATATACACTGAGTGTACAAAGCATTAGGAATGCCTGCTTTTTCCATGACAGACTGACCAGGTGAATCCTGGTGAAAGCTATGATCCCTTATTGATGTCACCTTTTAAATTCACTTCAATCAGTGTAGATGAAGGGCAGAAGACAGGTTAAAGAAGGATTTTTAAGCTTTGAGACAATTGAGACATGGATTGTGTACCAATTTATCCATTCAGAGGATAAATTGGCAAGACAAAAGATTTAAGTGCCTTTGAACGGGGTATGGTAGTACGTGCCAGGCACACCTATTTGGGTGTGTCAAGGACTGCAACTCTGCTGGGTTTTTCACGCTCAACAGATTCCCGCGTGTATCAAGAATGGTCCACCAACCAAAGGACATCGAGCCAACTTGACACAACGGGACGCATTGGAGTCAACATGCCATCATCCCTGTGGAACGCTTTTGACACCTTGTAGAGTCCATGCCCTGATGAATTGAGGCTGTTCTGAGGGCAAAAGGGGGGGGGGCAACTAACTATTAGGAAAGTGTTTCTAATGTTTTGTACACTGTGTATAACCAGAAGTCAAGACAAAGGAGATGATTGTGGACTACAAGAAAAAGAAGAGGACCGAGCACGCCCCCATTCTCATCGACGGGGCTGTAGTGGAGCAGGTTGAGAGCTTCAAGTTCCTTGGTGTCCACATCACCAACAAACTATCATGGTCCAAACACACCAATACAGTTGTGAAGAGGGCATGACAAAGCCTATTCCCCCTCAGGAGACTGAAAAGATTTGGCATGGGTCCTCAGATCCTCAAAAGGTTATACAGCTGCACCATCGAGAGCATCCTGACTGGTTGCATCACTGCCTGGTATGGCAACTGCTCAGCCTCCGACCACAAGGCACTACAGAGGGTAGTGTGTACGGCCCAGTACATCACTGGGGCCAAGCTTCCTGCCATCCAGGACTTCTCTACCAGGCAGTGTCAGAGGAAGGCCCTAAAAATTGTCAAAGACTCCAGCCACCCTAGTCATAGACTGTTCTCTCTGCTACCGCACGGCAAGCGGTACCAGAGTGCCAAGTCTCGGTCCAAAAGGCTTCTTTACAGCTTCTACCCCCAAGTCATAAGACTCCTGAACAGCTAATGAAATGGCTACCCAGACTATTTGCATTGTCCCCCCCACTCTTTTACACTGCTGCTAATCTCTGTTTATTATCTATGCATAGTCACTTTAACTCTACCTACATGTACATATTACCTCAATTACCTCGACTAACCTGTGCCCCCACACATTGACTCTAATAATTTTTTACTTATCTTTTTTTTACTTAATACTTATTTTTCTTAAAACTGCATTGTTGGTTAATGGCTTGTAAGTAAGCATTTCACAGTAAGGTCTACACCTGTTGTATTCGGCGCATGTGAGAAATACAATTTGATTTGAAGTGGTCTAGTGCGGTTTCTATGAAATCATTCATCATGTGTGGTAGAGTTCTCAGTGCCATGCAGATTCAGCCTTTTCAAATGCTGGTTGTGTTGAGTATAATGTTTCAGGTCCATAAAACTGGAATTGTTTAATAGACCGGGGTGTTGTGACCTTGGTTTTACTTACTCAGTGATTCAATGCACTTTATTGGCATGAAATGGCATAGGTGTAAATGTATCTCCCTCCCCTGGTTTACCTTTCTTTCTCTTTCTGTCTGTCCCTCTCTTTCCTTGTTCACCTTTGTCCTCTGACAGGATTTCATCATCATGTTTGTCCATCACCTGGCCACCATAACCCTCATCACCTTCTCCTACTGTAACAACATGCTGCGAGTGGGCACTCTGGTCATGTGTGTGCATGATGCCTCCGACATCTTTTTGGAGGTATACGGTCAAGGGCCTATACTATATGTGGAGCGCTGTCTTTTTACTGGCTGAGGTGGTTCAACACAATGTAAATGGTATTTATGGTATACAGTGAGGGGAAAAAAGTATTTGATCCCCTGCTGATTTTGTACGTTTGCCCACTGACAAAGACATGACCAGCCTATAATTTTTATGGTAGGTTTATTTGAACAGTGAGAGACAGAATAACAACAACAAAATTCTGGAAAACACATGTCAAAAATGTTATAAATTGATTTGCATTTTAATGAGGGAAATAAGTATTTGATCCCTCTGCAAAACATGACTTAGTACTTGGTGGCAAAACCCTTGTTGGCAATCAGAGGTCAGACGTTTTTTGTAGTTGGCCACCAGGTTTGCACACATCTCAGGAGGGATTTTGTCCCACTCCTCTTTGCAGATCTTCTCCAAGTCATTAAGGTTTCGAGGCTGACGTTTGGCAACTCGAACCTTCAGCTCCCTCCACAGATTTTCTATAGGATTAAGGTCTGGAGACTGGCTAGGCCACTCCAGGACCTAAATGTGCTTCTTCTTGAGCCACTCCTTTGTTGCCTTGGCTGTGTGTTTTGGGTCATTGTCATGCTGGAATACCCATCCACGACCCATTTTCAATGCCCTGGCTGAGGGAAGGAGGTTCTCACCCAATATTTGACGATACATGGCCCCGTCCATCATCCCTTTGATGCGGTGAAGTTGTCCTGTCCCCTTAGCAGAAAAACACCCCCAAAGCATAATGTTTCCACCTCCATGTTTGACGGTGGGGATGGTGTTCTTGGGGTCATAGGCAGCATTCCTCCTCCTCCAAACACGGCGAGTTGAGTTGATGCCAAAGAGCTCGATTTTGGTCTCATCTGACCACAACACTTTCACCCAGTTCTCCTCTGAATCATTCAGAAGTTCATTGGCAAACTTCAGACGGGCATGTATATGTGCTTTCTTTAGCAGGGGGACCTTGCGGGTGCTGCAGGATTTCAGTCCTTCACGGCATAATGTGTTACCAATTGTTTTCTTGGTGACTATGGTCCCAACTGCCTTGAGATCATTGACAAGATCCTCCCGTGTAGTTCTGGGCTGATTCCTCACCGTTCTCATGATCATTGCAACTCCACGAGGTGAGATCTTGCATGGAGCCTCAGGCCGAGTTGAGATTGACAGTTATTTTGTGTTTCTTCCATTTGCGAATAATCTCACCAACTGTTGTCACCTTCTCACCAAGCTGCTTGGCGATGGTCTTGTAGCCCATTCCAGCCTTGTGTAGGTCTACAATCTTGTCCCTGATATCCTTGGAGCGCTCTTTGGTCTTGGCCATGGTGGAGAGTTTGGAATCTGATTGATTGATTGCTTCTGTGGACAGGTGTCTTTTATACAGGTAACAAACTGAGATTAGGAGCACTCCCTTTAAGAGTGTGCTCCTAATCTCAGCTCGTTACCTGTATAAAAGACACCTGGGAGCCAGAAATCTTTCTGATTGAGAGGGGGTCAAATACTTATTTCCCTCATTAAAATGCAAATCAATTTATAAAAATTTTGACATGCGTTTTTCTGGATTTTTTGTTGTTATTCTGTCTCTCACTGTTCAAATAAACCTACCATTAAAATTATAGACTGATCATTTCTTTGTCAGTGGGCAAACGTACAAAATCAGCAGGGGATCAAATACTTTTTTCCCTCACTGTATGTGGTTGTGAGAGTACTGTGTTTCACCCTGGCGTGTGTTTGCTCTGTGTTTCTAGAGCTGTGTGCACTGCTGGTGCACTTAGCGAATACCTGTAACTTGAATCTGACTGTTGAACATGTTTGTTTACCACGTCAGTTGGTAGCGAGTTAAAGTTGGTTTGGTATCTCTAATCATGTGCCTTTTATTTCCTTCTCCCCAAGTTTGCCAAGTTGGCCAACTATGCAAAGTACCAGTGGATTTGTGACACCGGCTTTGTAGTGTTCAGCATAGTCTTCTTCATCACACGACTTGTCATCTATCCGTTTTGGTAAGGGGAGGTACATATTAAATTACGCAACAAGGCACACAGCTACGTTATCTTACTGCAGCCATTCGGTCATCAGCACTATAGGATAGATGTAGAATTAATTTGATTTCTATAAAAATGGTCTCTTTGGTGTCTCCATGTGACGGTGCCCTAGTAACGTGTGTGTGTTATAGGATCATATACAGTGTGCTGGTGGAGAGCTGGGAGATCATTGGTCCATACCGGTCCTGGTGGCTGTTGAACGGCCTGCTGCTGGTCCTTCAGACTCTTCATGTTATCTGGTTCTACCTCATCGCTCGAATCGCCATCAAAGCCATATTCAAGGGCAAGGTGTGTTTACTCCTTCTGTGAATAAAAGTGAACCTATGGTAGCAACAGGGATAATTTGTGTAATATGCTCACACTGTACTTAGTAGTAAAATGTGCCAATATCAAACATTTTTCTGTTTACACAAACAATCTATTAATGTTTAGGGAGGAAAAACAGCAATATGTTTATGATATGATTCCTCCACAGACTATTCATTATGTTACTGAGCACAAACTCTGTCCCTTTTAAAAGGTGGCAAAGGACGACCGCAGTGACATCGAGAGCAGCTCAGAAGAAGAGACCGACACCAATGTCAAGATTAGGAACAAGTCACATCCCAACGGTAGCGAACAATCACTAAAGGAGGGCAATGGGACCAACAGCTTTGTCAACGGTGAAACACAAGACCACTGAACACTGGGAGACGTGAATATGAACTGGACAAGGGGGGTCCAAATGGATCCACTCTGCTGTGTGCACAACAATAAGTATACTTCAACTCTTCTTTCACTTTCAGAAAAACAAACCCTTTCAGGATTGGTGTGGTAGGACGATAAAATTGACAGTGACTGCTACCTTGGGGACCTCTATTTATCACTGCGTTTCTTTGTATCAAGTTTACAACTTTGCCTTTGCTTATAGTGAAAATAGGGGAAGAGAGTTTTCATAGCAGTTTTACCGGTCAAATACAGCTTGTGCTTCATTTTTTACAATTTAGAGATATAGCTTTTTTTACTTGGAGAGATTGCTTTATCAATGAAACTGGTGATATTTTAATGGTTGTGTGAGATTGTGTGCCTTATTGAATATGCTGCCTCCCCTCATCTGAGGGAAGAAAGATACCAAATAAAAATTCTGTATTTTTCTCATTAAAAACATTTATTTAAACCAATTAATTAGTCAACATCTTTTGACAACCAAAATGATAATGATACTAAAATAACCTCATGAATGTATTCACTATCAAACACTGCTGTCGGTTCAGCCCATGGCTGTTTGAATGCCATTGTCATGTAACAGCATATTCAGTGGTTAAAGTTCTCCATCACTGCGACGGATTTCTGTCATATGGATTCTGGTTGTTTTTGAGATCAGTGAGATAGGCAATACAAAATTTTGGGGGATGGGGGGACAGTGGTGTGTAGCTGCTGGCAAAGTAATGCAATGCCTTTATCACTCAGATCATGGTGCAACTTTCCAGTTCTACTATTTCTGCCATGTAGTTATTAAATCAAAATCAGACAACCCCGTAGTAGAATAGTTTACCTAGTCGGTTTGTTCTATGTGACAGAAAGATTCAACTCGAGGCGCATTCAAGTTGCGAGAGCAATATGGAGGGAAACGTATTCTAACAAGCTGTCAATGCACTTTAAAAGCAGTTTTGGCTAATGTATTTTAAAAGCAGATTTGGCCTTTGTTAAAAAAGAGTGGGGTCCCAGTTTTCCATTGCTACCATTTTATTTATTTACTCCTTCAACAGGGCCGGATTAATGCAGGGGATTACCTGGGCTGAAGCCACTGGGCCCAGTCCCGTGGGGGGACCCAAGAGGCAGCATTTTTCACCTGTAAAAAAATAAAATAAATATGTACAGGTATATATTATATGCAGTGCATTCGGAAAGGATTCAAACCTCTTCCCGTTTTCCACATTTTGTTACGTTACAGCCTTATTTTTAAATGGATGAAATACAAAATGTTCCTTATCAATCCACACACAATACCCCATAATGATTAAGTGAAAACAGGAAATTTTTGCACATGTATTTTTTTTTTTTTTTACAGAAATACCTTATTTACATAAGTGTTCAGACCCTTTGCTATGAGACTCGAAATTGAGCTCAGGTGCATCCTGTTTCCATCGATCATCCTTGGTGTTTCTACAACTTGATTGGAGTCCACCTGTGGTAAATTCAATTGATTGGACATGATTTGGAAAGGCACACACCTGTCTATATAAGGTCCCACAGTTGACAGTGCATGTCAGAGCAAAAACCAAGCCATGAGGTCAAAGGAATTATCTGTAGAGCTCCGAGACAGGATTGTGTCGAGGCACAGATCTGGGGAAGGATACCAAAAAATGTCTGCAGCATTGAAGGTCCCCAAAAACACAGTGGCCTCCATCATTCTTCAATGTAAGAAGTTTGGAACCACTAAGACTCTTCCTAGAGCTGGCCGCCCGGCCAAACTGAGCAATCTGGGGAGAATGGCCTTGGTCAGGGAGGTGACCAAGAACACGATGGACACTGACAGAGCTCCAGTGTTCCTCTGTGGAGATGGAAGAACCTTCCACAATGACAACAATCTCTGCAGCACTCTACCATTTAGGCATTTATGGTAGAGTGGCCAGAAAGAAGCCACTCCTCAGTAAAAGGCACATGACAGCCCGCTTGGAGTTTGCCAAAAGGCACCTAAAGGACTCAGACCATGAGAAACAAGATTCTATTGTCTGAAGAAACCAAGATTGAACTCTTTGGCCTGAATGCCAAGCTTCACGTCTGGTGGAAACCTGGCACCCTCCCTACGGTGAAGCATGGTGGTGGTAGCATCATGCTGTGGGGATGTTTTTCAGCGGCAAGGACTGGAAGACTAGTCAGGATCGAGGGAAAGATGAACGGAACAAAGTACAGAGAGCTCCTTGATGAAAACTTGCTCCAGATCGCTCAGGACCTCAGACTGGGGCGAAGGTTCACCTTCCAACAGGACAACAACCCTAAGCACAGGGTCTGAATACTTTACCAATGCACTGTATAAACAATAGTCTGAATGTAGGCTAATTTTGAATCTCTGCTAGCTAGCTACACACCAATGATTTGTTTAGCATAGCAACATTGAATGATTAGAATTAATGACTGGGTCAAAACATTAGAAAATAACTAACGACCAGCCCGCTTTGGTAGCAACTTCAGAATGCAAAAGTTATCCGATGCGGGAGGCACGGGAAATAATGGCTCTGAGTGGCCATCGGGTGTGAGAGCTCACTCAATAGTTATTGGCAGCCCCTAACATGGAGAACGGAAAGCGCTGGAGTGCCATTTTAAGTGGCAACGATGTGAGTGGGACGTCTGATTCTCCGCCAAAGAACAGGCAAGCACTGGCTGTCACCAACCAGCGCCAGGACCGTGGTGAGTTCTTCCACTCGTGTGCCATCAATGGAAACATCACTATTAACATCAACAACTAGCTTGGTTAGCTCGGACTCGCCAACCATAGTTGTTGCCTATGTATGCCTATTGGATATTTATTAAATCATTATTTATTGAGGTTCTTGTCTCTCATCATCATTAAATCTCTGCTAGCTAGCTACGTGCCAATGATTTGTTTAGCATAGCAACATCGAATGAATAGAATTATTAGAATTAACGACTGGGTCAAAACATGAGACTAATGACCAGCCCGCTTGAGTAGCAACTTCAGAAAGAAAAAACAAATGTACTCGCACATTTATAATTTTTTATGAAAACAATTAAGATTTTTATAAATATGCTAGCAACCGTTTTATAAAATAAATTATGCCTTAAAACCTGGGAATTATCGTGTGACAATGCCCTCCAAGGGCTGTATCTCACAACAGCCCTTGTCGGGAGTTATTGCTGAAATGACATACTTTGTAATAGGTTGTTTTCAGTAAAACGTTGCAATATGTTCGATTTGGCTGCTGGCAGGGGACAAGGAGACCCCCGGCTACGCTAAAACCATTGACAACTACGTGCCATTTTCAAGGGATTGTTAAATAAATGTTATAACTATTTTGTTTTAATATCATCACCCATTGCGCATTGTCAGAACTACATATTTTCGATTATTCCATGCCAAACAATAGCGCACATTTAGCTCTATTTTTTTATTTTTATAATTTAACCTTTATTTAACCAGGTAAGCCAGTTGAGAACAAGTTCTCATTTACAACTGCGACCTGGCCAAGATAAAGCAAAGCAGTGTGATTAAAAACAACAACACAGAGTTACATATGGGGGTAAATCCAAACATAAAGTCAAAAAATACAACAGTAAATATATATACAGTGTGTGCAAATGTAGCAAGTTATGGAGGTAAGGCAATAAATAGGCTATAATGCAAAATAATTACAATTAGTATTAACACTGGAATGATAGATGTGCAAGAGATTAGGTGCAAATAGAGATACTGGGGTGCAAATGAGCAAAATAAATAACAATATAGGGATGAGGTAGTTGGGTGGGCTAATTTCAGATGGGCTGTGTACAGGTGCAGTGATCAGTAAGGTGCTCTGACAACTGATGCTTAAAGTTAGTGAGGGAGATAAGAGCTTCAGAGATTTTTGCAATTCGTTCCAGTCATTGGCAGTAGAGAACTGGAAGGAATGGCGGCCAAAGGAGGTGTTGGCTTTGGGGATGACCAGTGAGATATACCTGCTGGAACGCATACTACGGGTGGGTGTTGCTATGGTGACCAATGAGCTAAGATAAGGCGGGGATTTGCCTAGCAGTGATTTATAGATGGCCTGGAGCCAGTGGATTTGACAACGAACATGTAATGAAGACCAGCCAACAAGAGCGTACAGGTCACAGTGGTGGGTAGTGTATGGGGCTTTGGAGACAAAACGGATGGCACTGTGATAGACTACATCCAATTTGCTGAGTAGAGTGTTGGAGGCTATTTTGTAAATTACATCGCCGAAGTCAAGGATCGGTAGGATAGTCCGTTTTACGAGGGCATGTTTGGCAGCATGAGTGAAGGAGGCTTTGTTGCGAAAGATTCTTAATGTGAGTCTGGAAGGAAAGTTTACAGTCTAACCAGACACCTAGGTATTTGTAGTTGTCCACATACTCTAGGACAGACCCGTCGAGTGTAGTGATTCTAGTCGGGTGGGCGGGTGGGCAGGTGCCAGCAGCGTTCGATTGAAGAGCATGCATTTAGTTTTGCAAGTGTTTAAGAGCAGTTGGAAGCTACTGAAGGAGTGTTGTATGGCATTGAAGCTCGTTTGGAGGTTTGTTAACACAGTGTCCAATGAAGGGCCAGATGTATACAAAATGGTGTCATCTGCGTAGAGGTGGATCTGAGAGTCACCAGCAGCAAGAGCGACATCATTGATATACACGGAGAAAAGAGTCGGCCCAAGAATTGAACCCTGTGGCACCCCCATAGAGACTGCCATAGGTCCAGACAACAGGCCCTCCGATTTGACACATTGAACTCTATCTGAGAAGTAGTTGGTGAACCAGGCGAGGCAGTCATTTGAGAAACCAAGGCTATTTAGTCTGCCAATAAGAATGCGGTGGTTGACAGAGTCGAAAGCCTTGGCCAGGTCGATTAAGACGGCTGCACAGTACTGTCTATTATCAATCGCGGTTATAATGTCGTTTAGGACCTTGAGCGTGGCTGAAGTGCACCCATGACCAGCTCGGAAACCGGATTGCATAGCGGAGAAGGTACGG